CTATACTAATATGATTGGATATTAGGGAATATAAATAAATTCGATAATAAAATAAATAATTTCATAACTATATTATAATAATTTAATAATATGTAATGCACTATATAAAATCATTAAATATAATCCTGTCATGAATCACCATCTTCATTATCACTATATACCATATCATTTCCATTTTTATCTTTATTATCTAATACTATCAATTTAGGTAGTAAATCAAAAACCCTTTAGAAATATCCTTCTTCTTTTTCAATAGGATTTTGAGAAAAATCTAATTATTTTAAAACCCTCATTTTCTTGATTGGCTCCAATTCCTAATAATAATATTTATAATAAGATACATCAAATGTTTTAATTTGATTTTCATGAAAGCTTAATAAGAATAATTTTGGATATGTGCTGGCAACAAATTTAATTGCCTCTTTATCTAATTAATTTGTTTCCAAAAACAAATACTTTAAATTACGTAATCTAGGAAATCCCTCAAGTGTCTTTAAGGAACAATTGGTAAAGATTAAAGTTTCTAGCTGATATTGAGATTCAAGTAGTTCAGAGGTCAATTCATCCAATCTCACAATCTCAACATCTTCAAGATTAAACTCTAATAATTCACCATTTTGTTGTTTTTTTTGTTAATCAAGTGCTTATTTACATATTTCATATATGCTAGCCATTTATTAAAATAATTAATATCATATAATTAACTATTACGCTATATGCTAAAAAGGGTGATCGATGTCTTGATTACGTGCCTATTTTAATAAAGATAATAAATTACTGTTGATAATGAAAAGAATGACAATCCCAATTAATTAGCTAATTACATTCCTTATTTATTTTCTATCTTTCTGATTGCTTATAAATCTGACTTCATGGCAACTAAAACACCTGGTAACTTCTTTCCATTAGCTTTTGTTACTCTTTCAAACCATTCCTTAGCTGCCTCATAGGTGGTCTCCTTTGTCATATCATAACATAAGAAAACAAAGTTGGCGTCTTTCAACTTGAATAATATTATTTAAATTTGACTATGTTAGATTTTAAAATCGCTTATTCATATATTTCTGATCCTGCTATATCAAATAAGTATAATTCGACATCTTTTTCTTCTTATTCAAATGGAATCAATTTTGTAGATATTTCAGCTATTTGAGTCTAAGATTATTGAATGAAGATAATACTAATTGATAATCCTTTAGAAAATTAACCTCTCCAGTTGTATACAATTAAATAAGGGCAGATTTTCCAACTGCAGAGCTACCTACCACCAATACCTTAGCTGTTACTTTTCTCATTGAATAATAAATAATTTAAAAATAATTTAAGATCAATAAATTATTCATTTTTGTCTGATATTTTTTTTTTAATTACCTAAGTTTGCTTTTTTACCTTATAAAATATATTCATGTTATGCAGATTGTTTTTTTGTTTCTTTATCTAATTAATTCAATAAATAATACTTTGAAAATAAATAGGCCCATAAGCTTATTATTTTGTAAGTGGAGGTAATTTAACTGTATCTTAGAGTTATTATTTTTTAGTTTTAATAGAGTTTTGCAAATTTTAGTTGTTTTTTTTGAATAGAATCTATTTACGTAATGTGCGACAGTTATTTTATTCTTCTTCATCTCTTTTGAATTATATTTCATATTTACAGTTTCTCTTGCAATTTGATTGATTATAGACTTATTCCCAATAATTTATATTATTCTTAATCTCTTAATTCTTTAAAATATGGATGTCTAAGTGCTTATGTTGCATCAATTCTCTCTTCTGGATCATAAATTAACATTTGTTTAATTAGATCAACTAAATCTTTGGGAGCATATGGAATAAGATGTTCAAAACCTGTTCCAACTTTAGGAGGGAAATTAATTTCCATATGTGATGCATGCTTTCTAAAACGATCTAGTACTTTAGGATTTGGTGTTCCTAAAATATTATGAATCTTATTAATTTAATCAAATTCATGGTTTCCAGAAAACAAAGGATATAATGCAGTAATTTCAAATAGTACACAACCTGCTCCCCAAATATCCATTTTACTATCATAATAACCATCTGTCAATAGAACTTCAGGTGCTCTATACCATCTTGCAGCTATGTATTCTGTTTATGGTTGTTAAAAATAAATGCTTTTACAAGATCCCATGCCAGCTAATTTTAGATGATCACCTTAAAGTAAAATATTTTCACTAAATATTAAAAATAGTTATTACGGCATAATGCAACGATGAAATAAATTATTTTTATGTATGAAATCTATTGCTTTTAATAATTGATACATATAACTTTTAATTTTATCTTATTCTAATAGTATTTTTCGATCTATTTAATTAACTAAATATGATTAATACCCTTAATAAGTTCATAAAGATTTTGTTCCATTAATTCAAATACTAAAGATAATCTCCATGTATTTTCATCACTATTTAAATGATTAATAATTACTATAAAACATCAAATAAATTTATTATATGGTCATGATTTTGTAACTTTCTTAATATTGGAATTTCCCTAAATTCATTAACCTAAATTAGTAATAATTATATACTTCATCAATTGTTTACAAAACTTTTTTCATACATTTAATAGCAACTAACTCATTTGATGCTATAGATTAAGCCTTTACAACTTCTGAAAATGTACCATCTCCCAATTTAGCTATTAATTTATAATCTATCCATCTTAATAATGAAATTACTTTGCATTCTAAATTTTTATTTTATTATATAATCAATTTTTTATAATAATCAAAATAAATCCATGTATTATGCTTTAACATTTATTCACCATTTTAAGATTATAAATCTCTTAGAATTTATCATTATACTATTTTCATTTCATTAATTATTTAATTAATTAAATTAATGTATTCATCATTTATTACTAAAAGACCTATTGGATTTAGTTTATTGGGAACTTGCATGATTCTTGATCTATTTATTGCAGCATCTTAATACTCTAATTATTGTGAATTTTTTGATAAACCAATATATAAAGTATCATCAGATAATGGAATATCAATATATTAAACTAATTCAGAAGGATGTGAATTAAGTTAAAATTTTGAATTAACATATATGGGATTAAATGTTAGTGATCAAAATGCAAAGGCAGAAGTTGATAATAGAATCACAATCTTAAATTCAATAAATACTGAATTATTTGCTTGCATTGCTCTCTTTGTATTCTACTTTCATATTTTTACAAGTTTTTTACCTTTATTTCTAGACTTTGTATTAACTATTTCAGAATATTGGATGTAAAGAACAAGGAATACACTAATGATATCATTAATAAGAAACTTAATTGTAATTAATTGGCAATTAATGTAACCCTTACTTCTACTTACAACTGTCGTTAACAATATTACATATAAAGAATGCTTTGAAGTTTAAGATTTAAGATTTCTGATTCCAATTTACACAACAGAATGGGCTATTCTCTTTATTGTTGTAATAGTTCTGGAAACATATACACTTTTTTTCTTTTTAGTTAAATGGAGAAATGAATTCCCATGCTATCTATTAATATTTTAAATGTTCCATTTTGGTATATTTCATACTGTCATTATTTATAATATGGTTAAGGGATCCAAAAAATTATTACAAGTTCTATTTACTTATAAATAGTGGGTGNTAACTTCATATTCAGCAAACTAATTATCATCTGTACCTTCTTATTTGTTTGTCACTTTACAAAATAAAAATATGCCTTTATTAAAAGAAGAAATAATTTTGCAATGCAAATTATTTAGTGTTTCATACTTCAAATAATAAAATTTCTCAAATTTTTATTTAAATTTTTAATTACTAATCTTTCTGACCAATTCTATATAATCTGTAAAATTATTCATTAATTAATTTTAGGTAATTTAACTCAAACCTAAAAGTAACAATTAAACAATAAAAAACATGGGTAAATCTTAGTCAAGCCATAAGAATGATACAGAATTTATTAAAATTGCAGATAGTTTTAGTTTATTATATAAATAGTTATAGAAGAAAATCTACATTTGCAAAAGGGAATTTAGTTAATGAAAGGTATATATCATTAGTTGAATTTTTTGGGTTCTAAATCAAATAAGTAAAACTTTAAATTCATTATTGATTTAAATTCATTTGGATAAATGAAATACATATATGATGGAGAAATACTGAGAATGTATATCTTTTTTATATAAATAAAGTGAAAACATAAGAAATCTATACAGAAAACCTGAGATTTTGATTTAGTTAGAATAAATTAGAAATTAACAATGGATAGGGCAATATGGAAAATAACATTTGCCATTTGGAAAATGGAGGATGGTTTGGAGAGGGGAATAATAGATTTTAGGAGGATCATACAATTTTAATGGTTAGAAAGAAGGAAGGTGGGAAGAAGCTTTTGAAGGATATTAAGAGTATTATAATTAGTTTAAAAACTAAGTATTTTTTAAGTTATTTTTATTGGAAAATATTAACAAGATTTAAGATAAGGAAGGTGGATTTATCAATAAGATAAAGACAGAATGTAAATATTTATATAATTTTTAAGAGGTGGAGGTGTGTTTAATTGTAGAGGTTAAAAGTAAGGATTGTGGATTGAGCTACATGAAAATTATTCAAAGTAATTAATATTTAAAATGAAGAAATTGTTTGGTAAAAATTCAAGGAGAGTATAAAAATAATAAAAAACTTGGAAAATGGTTTTATTAATTTAAAATATCATCTTAAAATAAATTTTAATTTATGTATATTAACTTATATATATAGAACAGGAGGCAATTATAATGAAGATGGCTAAAAGAATGGAAAATGGCTTGATTTGAATTCTAATTTTGATTAGTAAAACATATATCATATTTAGTAACTAATAAATTGCTTATTTTGGTGATTATCTTTAAGGGAGAAAGTAAGGAATTTGGAATACATTTATGATAAATGATAGATAACAATATTAAATTATGTTTCATTTTAGTATATATATTTAGAGGCTGTGGAATTTATGATGTAAATTAATTAGAAAATGGATATTGGCTATAATTAACTAAAAACTAAACGAAGTATCTTTGATTTAATAGTGAATAGATTCAATTATTAAATTCATAGAATCGGATAATATGTCAATGGAAGAAAAATTGGGATATGGTAAACTTTAATAGGAAATTAAATAGTGTATATTTTTTAATCTAAATTAGTGGTACAGGAACATATAATTAAGCTGGATAAAAGAATGGAATGTGGACTCATTTTCCTATTAATTTTTAACCTGAAAATATCGACTTAAAAATAAATTAAATATAAGGTAAATTGGTCACTTTTGTTGGAAAATATAAAAATGGTTTGAAGTAAGGAAAATGGATTTAAAAAAAAGGAAAATCAATAAAGTAAATTATTAGATTAAATTATAAAGAGGGAAAGGAGAATACAATAATGAGGGCCATAAGAATGGAATTTGGGTTGAATTATGGAATTTCAAAATGTAAAATAATATAGAATAAAATTAGATCTTGCTCAGTAATATTATTGGGAGAATATTAAAAAGGAATAAAATTGGGTTAATGGGATATTTTAATTAAAAAAAATAAAAGTTTTGAAAAAATGTAAATTATTAATCTTTGTTTAAATAAGTGGAGGGGGAAGATATGATGATCAAGGGATGAAGCATGGAAAATGGGTTACATTGCATGATAATTATNGAAATACTGAGAATGTATATCTTTTTTATATAAATAAAGTGAAAACATAAGAAATCTATACAGAAAACCTGAGATTTTGATTTAGTTAGAATAAATTAGAAATTAACAATGGATAGGGCAATATGGAAAATAACATTTGCCATTTGGAAAATGGAGGATGGTTTGGAGAGGGGAATAATAGATTTTAGGAGGATCATACAATTTTAATGGTTAGAAAGAAGGAAGGTGGGAAGAAGCTTTTGAAGGATATTAAGAGTATTATAATTAGTTTAAAAACTAAGTATTTTTTAAGTTATTTTTATTGGAAAATATTAACAAGATTTAAGATAAGGAAGGTGGATTTATCAATAAGATAAAGACAGAATGTAAATATTTATATAATTTTTAAGAGGTGGAGGTGTGTTTAATTGTAGAGGTTAAAAGTAAGGATTGTGGATTGAGCTACATGAAAATTATTCAAAGTAATTAATATTTAAAATGAAGAAATTGTTTGGTAAAAATTCAAGGAGAGTATAAAAATAATAAAAAACTTGGAAAATGGTTTTATTAATTTAAAATATCATCTTAAAATAAATTTTAATTTATGTATATTAACTTATATATATAGAACAGGAGGCAATTATAATGAAGATGGCTAAAAGAATGGAAAATGGCTTGATTTGAATTCTAATTTTGATTAGTAAAACATATATCATATTTAGTAACTAATAAATTGCTTATTTTGGTGATTATCTTTAAGGGAGAAAGTAAGGAATTTGGAATACATTTATGATAAATGATAGATAACAATATTAAATTATGTTTCATTTTAGTATATATATTTAGAGGCTGTGGAATTTATGATGTAAATTAATTAGAAAATGGATATTGGCTATAATTAACTAAAAACTAAACGAAGTATCTTTGATTTAATAGTGAATAGATTCAATTATTAAATTCATAGAATCGGATAATATGTCAATGGAAGAAAAATTGGGATATGGTAAACTTTAATAGGAAATTAAATAGTGTATATTTTTTAATCTAAATTAGTGGTACAGGAACATATAATTAAGCTGGATAAAAGAATGGAATGTGGACTCATTTTCCTATTAATTTTTAACCTGAAAATATCGACTTAAAAATAAATTAAATATAAGGTAAATTGGTCACTTTTGTTGGAAAATATAAAAATGGTTTGAAGTAAGGAAAATGGATTTAAAAAAAAGGAAAATCAATAAAGTAAATTATTAGATTAAATTATAAAGAGGGAAAGGAGAATACAATAATGAGGGCCATAAGAATGGAATTTGGGTTGAATTATGGAATTTCAAAATGTAAAATAATATAGAATAAAATTAGATCTTGCTCAGTAATATTATTGGGAGAATATTAAAAAGGAATAAAATTGGGTTAATGGGATATTTTAATTAAAAAAAATAAAAGTTTTGAAAAAATGTAAATTATTAATCTTTGTTTAAATAAGTGGAGGGGGAAGATATGATGATCAAGGGATGAAGCATGGAAAATGGGTTACATTGCATGATAATTATAATTAGTATAATCAATCAATATATTAGTAATTGCTAAGTTTTAGATGTTGGATAATACCATCATGGAATTAAAGAAGGGAAATGGGACGTGAAAATATTTTAATATAATGAGCACGATGTTTCAATATATGATTGGCCTTAAAATAAATTTTACATAATGTAACACTATATTTTTATAATAATAAGAGGTGGTGGAAAATATCATAACGGACAAAAATATGGATAATGGATAGATTTAGATGAATCTTATAATCAACGTTTTTAAATTTTATATGAGGGGTAATACAAAAATGGTCTAAAGTATGGAAAGTGGGAAATGATAAAGTATAATAACTAAGATGTACAAAGAATGTAATATTAATAAATAAAATTAGTTGTGATTGTATCTATGATAAAGATGGATTCAAAAATATGTAATGGATTGAACTGAATAATAATAATCTATAATTAGAAAATTATTAAAAAATAAACAAAATAAAAAAAACAATAGATTAATAGAGATCTGAAATATGATTTAAAATTATATTTTATAATTTCGTATATCATCAATTTTCAACATATTCCAAAACCTTTTAATTTATCTTTTTAGCACTAACTTTGTATTTTTGTTTATTTAGATTTAATGTATTAAATTTATTTATATTTATTTATTTCTTTTCAGATATTATGATTCAAAATATATATAGTTTATTAAAAAACTGTCATAATTGTAACCATTAATATTTTTTAAATATCACTTACCTAAATATATTTTTTTAAACCTACACCAATATTTCTTGATAATATATAAAATTGATGATGAAAAATATATAGAATATATATAATTTATATACTCATGTTGTTGATGCCAGAAATAAGAATTTTTTAAGTTTAAAAAATTGATGTTAAATGTAAATTTATTGGCCTCAAGGTTATTAAATATTAGCTGCCTATTATCAATTATAAAGGAACCTATAAAATTTTATGTTTTAGGTTTTAGTTATTTATTTATAAGTAACTATGCTATTTATTATTGTAAAATTCTAAAAATTTTTTTTAATTTGAAATGATTTATGTAATTTATTATTATATATTAGAATTAGAAGAGATAGGGCATTAAATAAATAGTGAGGAGATTTTTTGATTTTCTTGTGATGTTTCTATTATGTATTTGATGTGAATAAGAGGGTATGAACAAATATTCAATTTGGATTTTTGTTTTTGTACCAATTATATAGCTTTAATAAAGAGAATATGTAATTGATAGGAAATAATTAATTTCAGGGCAATCAGGTTTCAAAAACAAAATATCCAATAATTTTGAAGACTTATTAAGAAGTATAAAACTAGATTAAAGTAATTGTTTAATAATGTTAGATTTGGATTGTTTAAGCTGAAACTTAAGTAAGTTTTAAATTATAATTATGAATATTTGAATTTAGATTTTTTTACTAAATTATGCCATATATATGAAGTATTAAATAGTATTTCTATTTAAAAATGAATAAATATTTAATACAAAAGATGTAAATAAATAAAAATTAATAAAATCTGGAAGAAAAGACTTCATAAGAATATAATCAAAATTAAAATATTTGCAATTTTATAAAGAAAATTAGTATGGAAAAATCTTACTCCTTTTTCTAATAAACTAAAATTAATAATTATTCCTATGTCAAATAGGAAATAGAGTCCCAAAAAATATGTTCCAATCTTTTAAAAGCCGCAAAAAGCATATGGGGAAGAGATGGTTAAGTAGGGAGTTAATACTATTTTATCCAATTAATCCGTTTTTAAATTTTTAGAGAATAATATAAATTATAATAAACAAATATTTCTAGAAGAATTACATTATTTTGTAATATTAAAAATTCATTTAGAAATATTTGATAATCTACAATTCACAATATTCCAAAATAAAATTCTTCGTCAATCCAAGTTGGAGTAGAAAAAATTCTATAGAAAATTAGAAAACATTCATAAAATTCACTGAATGTTCTACTTACGAATAATCTTTTAGTTTTGGCATTATAAACTGCAGATCTTCAACGAAACATTTAAAAGTGATGCATTAGGTAAAATAATAAAAAAATAATTCAACTTTCTTTTCCAATATAATAATTTTATTTTGAAAATCTTTCTGGAGTTTAAATAGCTCCATTACATTAGACAGCTATCCATAAAGCAAACATTGAAACAAAGAAGACAATATATCCTGTTAATTAATTAGAAGTGACTGTGTAAATCTATATATATAATAATCTTTTTACAGTATTTGAAGATAGTTAGTTCTCATCAGCTAACTCTACAGCTATAATTTAATCAGAGGGCTAAAATAATGATATATCAATATATACTTCTGATGTTTCAGTAATTTCTTCTAAAACCTTCACATTTGAAGATATTTTTGAAAATAACACAATTAAGATAGCATCTTATTGTTAAGCAAATTTATCAAGTGCCTTAAGATTTTAAAAGTTCATTGGGATATTTTATACTTCAATCTTGAATAAATAAACCAAATTACTTAATTATCTTTTTAGAGTCCTTAAGTAAACTGGATTGGAGAATAATCAACAAATGGGGAAACAAAAGTGGATTTAGATTTTAACAATTTTTAAAAATTCTTTAAACTGTCTATCTTTTTGAGTAATTTGCTTTAGAATATTTCATTATCTTAGTGAGATGTTTGAATATTTATTAAGATAACTTTTTTGTTTTCCTACTACAATAATATTTTAATATACTTGCTGTCTTATTTTACTCATCAAATCTATTTAATTGATAAATAAATCAGAAGAGCTTAAGTCTGTATTCGTTACTACAATTGGATAGCAATAAGCAACCGCAAATAAAAACACAATTAATATTTTCATAATTATATTAATTAAAAATCGAATTTTAATTAAGCATTTCACAATTGAAATTCAAGCAAATTTATATGGAATAATTTAATTAAAAAAAGTCAATCTGCCATTTAATTTTTTATTTAACATATTAGTATATTAAAAATGTATTTCTAATTTGTATTGATTTTAATACAATTATCAGTTTATTTAATATTGTTTCATCAAATCAAATTTAGATGTTTATAAAATACAAGATCCTTGTACGTTATTATATGTTTTTGTCTCATTAATATACAATAAATAGAAAAATAAATTATTAAAACTGATCCTTTTCAAAAAGCTTTAAGTATTTGTAATTTAGAAAAATTAATCTTCAATCTATTAATAAAAGAATCATATATTAAAATTAATTAGATAATCATTAAAACAAAAAATGTTCAAAAAATTATATTATTTTACTATTTTTGGAATACTAAGGACATTATAAACTATATAGAAAATTAAAAACCTGAAAAGAACTTAATAAAAAAGCATAACTTATATAACTTGAACATAATAAACAAATTCTAAAAACCAGAAAATAAATTATGCTTATTAGTAACTATAAGTTGATAATTAAAGTGATGTAATTCTGAAAAAAAGTTGAATAATATATTTTTAAGGCTATGAATAAATGATAGTATTTTCCGATTATTGATTATCAT